GAGACACCGCCAAATTTTTCAAGCCCTGTCTATATATCTATAGATATAGATATATATACATACACATATACACACACATATATACACCCTTTTTAAAATCTGTAAATCTAGAAAAATCACACTTCAAAAGCTATACAACAAAAACACATCAATAAACTTTGAAGGAAAAAATAAGCTATGCAGACAACGATGTACATACCTGATCTTCATAGCCTTCAACTTTCACCGGCGTGAACTGATCTAAGTTGTACTGTGCAAAAGCACTAGATGTATTAGGAGAAAAAAAAAAAAGTCAGTATATGCAACAATAATGATAGAAAACCTTCAAAGAATGTCTATCATCACAATTCACACATCACGCAAATCCATGGGCCACGTCAATTTACATTCTTTCATGCTTCTCATAATTGAAGAAATGCCACTTCTAAGCTCCCTCGGGTCTCTTGCCATGGGGATGTTTCATGTCATTGGATACTGTATAGTCTATTGTTTTAAATTAGACCCTGTCTAGGGGATTTAGAGTGAGGACAGAAGGTTGGCAACGCAAAACTTCCACATGTAGTAAGCAAATATGACTGTCACTCAAGTACACAGAAACAAGGAAATCAAAACATTTATGTGGAATGGCAAACATACCGCTAAATACAGTGTTGCAATACATATACACTCACTGGCCACTTTATTCGTTACAGCTGCTCGTCAACACAAATATCTAATCAGCCAATCAACTGGCAGCAACTCAATGCACTTAGGCAAGAAGTCAAGAAGATCTTCTGCAGCTCAAACTAGGGAAGAAAAGTGATACAAGTGGCTTTGAATGTGGCATGATTATTGTTGCCAGACGGCAGACGGGCTGGTCGCAGTATTTCAAAAACTGTTGATCTACTGGGATTTTCATGTACAACCATCTCTCGGGTTTACACAGAATGGTCCGAAAAGGAGAATGACCAGACTGGTTCAAGCTGACAGAAAGGCAACAGTAACTCAACCACTTGAGGTTACATCTGAGGTATGCAGAAGAGTATTACAACGTAAACAACAAGAGTAAACAACGTAAAAGCATGGATCCATCCTGCCTTGTATCAATGTCCATCCCTTTATCACCACAGTGCACCCATCTTCTGATGGCTACTTCCAGCAGGATAACACACCATGTCACAAAGCTAAAAATCATCTCAAACTGGTTTCTTGAACATGATAATGAGTTCACCGTACTCAAATGACCTCCACAGTCACCAGATCTTAATATAATAGAGCACTTTTGGGACGTGGTAGAATGGGAGATTAGCACCATGGATGTGCAGCCAACCAATCTGCAGCAACTGCGTGATGCTATCATGTCAAAATGGACCAAACTCTCTACGGAATGTTTCCAGCGCCTTGTTGAATCTATGGCAGGAAGAATCAAGGGAGTTCAACCCGTAATTAACAAGTGGCCGATGAGTATGTTAACTTAAGATTTGTACTTCAGCTGGTCTCGTCAATCAAATACCGCTGCTATAATGTATAGCCGGAAGTTAACGCCTATTCCACTTTCACAGTTTTTAATGAATTGTCCAAAAAGCAGATTGGTAACAACACAAAACCTGTTAAAAGAAACAGCCATATTACTTGCTTGACTGTATAGTGTAGCAGAGGTGTGCAAATGTCAAGACAGGCTGAACAGAATATAAATGCTTTGGCATATAAAAAGACCACAAATATGCATTACACGTGTGAATTTAGATGCTTGCCTGAAATTCTGCTACACTGAAAAGATTAAAAGCGGATTTATGTACCTGAAAAATCTGTTTGTTGGAGTACATCACAGGACACAAGGAGTTAATTCATTGGCAGATGTGTTATGCAGCTACCTTCAGGTGAATGGACACTGGCAAATCAAAGCTGTGAGGACAGCTCAGAATAGTCCCTACCAATCTCAGCCTGCCTCAGTTTTGCAGGAAGCAGTACAAGAGTGGTCCACAGAAAAACAGGAGGGAAGGTCCTGTGTCTTGTATTTCAAGAAATGGAATTTACAGGTAAGACTAAGATCCTGTTTTCTTGAACATACATGACAGGATAAAAAGGGAATCACCCCTGGAACCAATGGTATGTCCAAAAGCAGCCCAACAGAGGGGCAGGCAACAAATCAAAGGCCTTTGAAAAAGACAAAAAAAAAACTAGGGCTGCACCTAACGATTATTTTCATAATCGATTAGGTAGCCAATTATTAAGTTTGATTAATCGGTTAAAAAAAAAAAAGGCTCCAGTGATGGACTACTAGTTTCTATTGAGATTGTAGTCCATCACGGGAGCAAGCTTGGAGCGGTGGAAGAAAAGAAAAAAAAAGTGTGGTGTGCAATATAGTACATTACACAGCGGCGCAGTGCAGAATACCAGCAGCTATAGAGGAATGCAGCAATAGTACATTATACTATAATGTACTATTGCTGGGATTTGTAGCAGGGGTGTGGAAATCCTATCGCCCGACGCCCGGGACATGCAGTTTCGGGCGCCGGGCGAGTAGTTTTAAAGTACATTCAGCCCGGCTCCGGACAAGCAGAGCTGAAATGTACATTGTGGAGCCGCCAGCAAATTGCAAGCACTCATTGGTCAACGTGGTCAGATGACTGCGCTGACCAGTGAGAAGCGCTATTTAGCACAGTAAAATATGTTTTGATTAGGGGTGCACTGATACTAGTATCAGTGCCGATACCGAGTATTTGGGCAAGTACTCGTACTCACCCAAATGCTCAGATACCTTCCCCGATATTGGAACTTACGGCCAGATGAAAATTTCCTCTGACTGGCAGTGCCGTAGGGGAACATGGAGCCAGCTTCCCGTGCAATCAGGAAGCCGGCTTCCTGGCCAATCAGCATCGAGCCAGTTTCCAGGTCAATCAGGTCATTACTCGCCACCCGGCTTCCTGATTGACCGGGAAGCAGGTTAACCCGGCCAATCGCAATCAAGCAGGCCAAACATGGAGACGGCTTCCGTGGCAATCAGGAATCTGGACGGGATGTCATTACCTGCTGCCCGGTTTCCTGATTACCAGGGAAGCCTGCTTTATGTCAGCAGAAGCACCGGTATTAGTATTCAGTGTCGGCGAGATCCGAAAGCAAAAAAAAAAAAATCGGTACTCGATAACGAAAAACTGGTATTGGTGCATCCTTAGTTTTGATTAAAACTATTTTTTGTATTGGGACAAGTAGATTGTCGTGAAGGACAAGTAGATTTGGCCCCCACTTTAGCCCTTGGACAAGTAGTTTTAAAAAAAATTTCCACACCCCTGTGTAGTCCTCTGTAACTGCTGGTATTCTGCATTGCATTGTATATAATGTATTATTGCTGGGATTTGTAGTCTTCTATAGCAGGTGGTATTCTCCATTGTGCTGTATAATGATTATACTGTGCAATGCAGATTACCACTGACCAGTTATAGAGGAACTACAAATCCCAGCAATACATTATACAGCGCAATGGAGAATACCAGCAGTTATAGAGGAGGAACAACAAATGTCAGCAATAATACATTATACCGGGTGTTTTATGTATTATTCCTGGGATTTGTTGTTCCTCTATAGCTGCGGATGTTCTGCAGTGTGCCGCTGTATTATACAATGCAGAACACCATGCACAATACAATGCACAATACAATAAACAATACCAATGTATAATACACCGGCACACTGCAGAACACCAGTTTTTAATGTATTTAATGTATTATTGCTGGGATTTGTTGTTCCTCTATAGCTGCTAATGTTCTGCAGTGTGCAGTGTGTATAAAAAAATACAAAAAAACCCAACAGGAAACATTAAAAAGCTCCTGGCCGATCTCAACTTACTTTGAATGACGGTGTTGTCAGCGGGCAGCGGCTCACCGGGAGGAGAGGGCCGCATGTCCTCAGCGTGCGGTGGGCGTGGCTTAAGCGGCAGCTGAGGGAGCTCACAGCGAGGAGACCAGCGGCGTGCACGGCTTCAACCTGTGCGGTGGGTGTGGCTTATGCGGCGGCGCGGGCACGTCGGGCGCAAGGGGAGCAGCGTGACTTAGGCCGCGTGTGGAGCCCCGAACAGGCTAATCAATCGATAGCCGACGAATCGACGATCGAAAGCGTTGCCAATGTTTTCAAATCGTCGATTTTAATCGACTAAATCGATTAACTGTTGCAGCTTTTTTTTTAAAACCCAACAGGAACCTACAACAAAAGGCCCACAGCTCAAATGGGACCAACTAAAGAACTTCATGTCTGAAGCTAGATCTGGATGTCCACCTGGCAAACCTGACAAAAGTGTAAACAGAGGACAAGGTGGCAGCCTTACAGATTTTGGAAATTGCAGTTGGGTGCTGGAAGACGCAAGAAGCACTAATGCTCCTAGTAGAGTGAAGGGGGAGGACGGAGGGGGGACTTTACCCTTCAATAGACCAGAGTGATGGTTCACAGAATTGACCTAGTGAAAGTGGAACAGGAAGCCAGCTGCCTCAGATGGGAACTCGGAGGAATAACAAAGGAGGATGCAGACTTGTGGATGGCAGCAGTAGCTGAGAGGTAAACGCAGTTGGCCCCAACCATGTCGAAACAGTGGAGAGACACCTCTTTTCATGTATAGGAGCAGGACATAAGGATGGTATGACAATGTCCTGGTTAAGGTGGACAGCAGAGACCACATTAGGAAGAAAAGAGGTCCTAGGTCTCAGCACTACTTCACCCTTGTGGATAACCAGTGAAGGCCGCCAATTCAGAAACACGCTTGACAAAAGTGATGACAACAAGGAAGGCCATTTTGAGAGTTAAGTAGCTCCAGTAGAATATCTCTTGAGAGGTTAAATGGTTGGCTTCTGTAACACAGACAGGACTAATTTGAGGTCCCCTGGAAACACCGGTGTGCTTACGGGGGGACGTCAGTAACCCCCTGCACAACGGCCTTCACTAGAGAGAGTAAGGGGGCAAACCGCTGAAAAACTGTCGTCAAGGCAGAAATTTGACCATTGACAGTAATTACAGCTAAACGATGGCCTGGACCAGGCTGGAGGAATAGGAATACTTCCTGGAATGAAAATTCCTTGCTTTGTACCATGTGAAAAGCTTTTCAGGTGCAATAGTAGACCTTGTGGGAAAAATGGATCCCTAGTGATCAGGAGCACAGGCACGGCAGCGCCCAAAAGGCCTCTATCCTTCAGGACCTGGCCTTCAACAGCCAGGCCATTGAAGTCAGTGACAGAGAAGCAGGGTGGAATACTGGTCCTTGGGTTTGGCTACATTCATATACCAGTTTTCTTGGGCCAGTTGGGATCAATCACCGGAATGCCATCCTATGAAGGATTGAGTTTCAGAGGGCAGAAAACACATAGATTAGGCTGAACTGAACCCATAATGCCACCAAGGCATCTACTACAAAGGCCAAGGGATCAATGGTTCTGGTGACAAAGTTGTCCACTTTAGAAAAGCAATATGTTGCTCCAGGTTAGTCCATGATTGCCTGCTATTGCTAGGTGCTTGTGCAGCTCATTTGCCGACAGCCACTACACAGGACAACTGGATGACCGTGCACCAGCTATGTTCATACTCATCCTTTATTCCTTTACAAAAGCATAGCACAAGACATTGAGACCAATGATGCATTTTAGGCACACAGGTGCTTAGAGGTGCCCACAGTTACTTCCTTGATGCAAGGGTGTTTCCCAGTAAAGAGCAGGCTGCAAGTGGGAGGGGTTATACAGGTCTGTTCTTACAGCTTTCTAATAAAAGGGTGATTTATTTTTGGCTGGCATAATTATTTTCTTTCTCTGTGTGCACCACGGTGGGCAATTACGGGTTTTCAAGAATAAATATTCACCGGGGCAGTATGTAAAGTTTTGATAACAGTGCATGGCAAAATTTACATTTATATAAATATCTGTAAAAGCAAAAAACAGTCAGGCCACTTCTAAACCCACAATCAATCATTCTCTTTACTTATATATTAAACATTCAAAGTTTTCACAATAAACAACGTTTTTACACTTGTGCACTTCTGCCTCAACTACATGCATAGGCTATTGCACAGTAGTACAGGCTTTGAACAGTGTGTTCGAAATCCTGGAGGAATCAGAACGACAAAAAAAAAAAACAACTTACTGAGCAGCGCCTTCCCTGAGTAAGTTGTCATTGTTAAGTAGTAACCGAACATCTGTACAGAAAAAGCATACAAAAAGAGGAATGTATTAGATTGTTACTTGATACAATATTAGGAATTTATATAGACATGCATGTGAAAGTAAAAATGCAGTTAAAAGTATATTCTGTTTTCACCTACTGCACATTTAGATGCATGCAACACTCGATGATGTTGATGTCTGCCACAACATGTAGATATTACAGTGATTCACACATAACACTCAGAATGTATTGTATGTGCACAATAAGATATGTTCCCGCTAGTGCATGATCCATCAGGGAACAGTTAAAAAAACAGCCATAGTAGATAAACACCTTAGGCCCCGTTCCCACTGCGCGATATGCAAATCGCGCGTTTGTTGCGCGATTTGCATATTGCGCGACATCTCGAGATTTGCCGCGCGATGTCGCGTTCAAGCTTGCATTGACCAGGGACCAGTCTAGCAGCCAGGTGTGACTGAGGATCGGGTGGGTATATATATCTTTTTTTGTTTCAGATCCTAAAACGAGCACTTAACCATTCCAGTGCCCCATATGCGCAGAGTTCTTAAAGTCACATAATGAACTATATTATGCACAATGGCACACAATATCTACTGACCCCTAAAGTTGGCAATACACTTTTTTTTTTTTTGCTCCACCTTTGGATTGAACTAAATATAATAAACAGATTCCACCATCGACGCTTGGAGACATCTATTATATGCAAATCTCTTGCTGTGCTGCTGTATTGTGACAGTGGTGGGTTGCCACTGTCAGAATACCCAAACGGTGACAGCAGCCGACTGCCTGCCGTCATTGTTCATCTGAAAATTTTCCAACTGGCTACTTCAATTTTCTGATAGAAGGATGCTGGACAGAAGGGTGGAAACAGAACCACCCACTGAACGAATTAAGGCCGGTTCATCAAGAACCAGACAAAATATGTACAGTGTATGGCCAGCTTTACCCTGTAATCCACACCTCACTGGCTAACCCTTGGCCTTTACCTTACCACTAACACTATGTCCAGCACTTACTAACCTTCTCATTGAAAGCACTGGCCCATCCTGCACCAAAATTATGCAGGGCTTGCAGGTCTGCACCCAAAGTAACGGATTTGGCAGAATGCAGAGCTTAAAGCAATGCAACAATTATTTTCTTTTTATAACTGATGTAACACTCCCTTATCTAAGATACCGAAGGGACAAAAGCTGTTCCATTGTACTAACTACAGTAAAAAAAAAGGATACTTTTTTTCCACTAACATACTATTCGACAAGAAAATTGGTACACGCATATTTTAAGATATGCAAACTGTCCTTAGATCATAGCACAACCTAATTCTACATTGTAAAGACACTCCATTTCTCAGGCTGATAAAAAATACCTCATGAATACAAAAGATTCACCACACAGACTGTGCAAAACTAAAATAAATAAATCGTAAAATAGCTGTATCCTGAGCCAATTCATAAACTAAGAAAAAAAAGTATTGCACAGTCCTGTTGCTCAGTGAATCCTTCATACTTATCTGCTGGCAAGATGAACCAGGATCGGCACCCAACCATGTTCAATGGGCATGTGAGCCAAGATCCACCGGGAGCAGTTTGTTGTTATTTGGAGAATATGTTCCCTTCAGTCAATGCAGGCACATACAGATGAGCTACATCGCAATAAAAAAATCCCACTGAACGGCTCGATTAAGGATCATTACTTGAATTTGCCTGGAAACCAATCAGGGGCTGCAGATAATTTTCAAAGCTGCCCATTGTTTTTATCTGTAAATGTCAGTAAAGTTGAGAGGAAAGAAAAAACAAATAACTGCATTACTCACCATTAAACACTTCATTGAATTCTCCTGGAGGAGCATGGATGATGAATTTTGCTGCTACACGTACCTAAAACAAAAAAGTAGACAAGACAAAATTAATTAACTTAAAAAGACAAAGTCAAAACTGGATAATGGATCACTGAATAGTTACCAGTGTGCTTTTAAAGACATTCTGTCACATTAATATCTGGTACACTTTTACTTATAATCACATAATACAAGTTTAGGTGCAAATATGAAATTGCCAAGATCCAGGGGAGAGCACCAAGGATCAACCTAGTGCTCCAGATCAGCACAGGTAATCAATAGTAAGAGAAAATTGCTACCTGCAGAATGGTGTTCCTTTATTTGCAATGTGGAGGACAACTAATAATCCTCCAGAAGGAAAATAGAGGGAACAAAAAGCTACCTAAACAGAAGAAACAAAACTTGGACTAACAGCTAAGGTGGTCAACAAGAAGTAATGTTTACTAGGGTAAGGGCCCAAGTCTAGCCTACCTAACCCTTGAGTTCAGGGAAAGGAAACTCGGATAGATAATTTATATCCAGAGGGATCAACCATTCTACAGTCGGAGGATTAAAAGGTTTTCCACTATTGCAGCCAATTCGGGATAAAACTTACTTTATATTTGTTACATGCTCAGTTCACGTAGCATAATATTAAACAATTGCTGCTTACATTGTACTTGCTCTTTTTGTAAAAAAAAACGGCAGTTGTCGAACAAGCACACCACTAACGATTCTCGGCGGGTTTTCCAGCCTGCTTGTTCGACGGAAGACGTGCGATCGTACAGTAGAAACGGTCGCACGCCTTCCATAAGCTTTGCGATTATCGCACGATCGCGGACGATAATCGTACAGTGTATGGGCACCTTAAGGCCGATCTGAAAAATAATTTCAGGGGTCCGATTCTGGTCCATTCCGGTTCTAAGAAGGAAATTCAGTTGAGTTAGTCTATGAGTAGCAGAAATAGATACCAGCTGAGCTGACCATATAGCCTCCTCCCAGACATCTTCAAACTATCAAAAGGTTAAAAGATGTCAGGGCTTGTGTTGTGCATTGTATGATAAATGACAGCGAATAGTGTCTGTCCCCACTTTCTCCCCCCTCCACTTGAACTTTTACATTGTTTAGAATAGCTTGCAGTCTGCCTAAAGGCCGGCACCATGGAAACAACTAGAAAGGCGAGAAATATTAAGATAGAAAACATTTTAGATATGCTTTATGAATGGGAACACAAATAAATAGTGGGGTTCTCTCCAATTTTACTGCAAAAATTAAGCAGAACCCCCTAAACTCTTCATATCAGGGAGGGGATGTCTATAATAAGAGGAATATTAGCTGACAGATAAGAAACCTTTAAGCTAGTAACCTAGAATCCCGTTAGGGAGAGGGTGAGGTAATCGACAGCACCTGTATGAAAGAAGGGGTAGGCAGTGGTGAAGATATACTGTAATGCAAACTGGCATACAAGGATACAATAATCGATTATAATCGATTATGTCGATTAGTTGTTGCAGCCCTAACCAGAATCAGAAGGAGTAGGGGGTGAGTGACATGAATAGGATATAGAACAACTGGAGGACTTTGAAGAAGCAAGCCCTCACAGGGTAAAGCAGCAGAAGGAAACAATTCTTAAACTTGGAGGCCACAAGATCACTTAGGAGAGATACAGGGTTGAAGACAGTCAAGCACTCCAAGAGTGGTAACCATCTAGGATAGGAAAAAGGACTCTCCTGTGAAGTGGAGGAAAACGTGGTAAAGTTTCCTGCATCCTTACACAGGGCATATACTGATTCTTGCGCAGTGTCCCAAATCAAGCATTTCCTCCTTCCTAAGACCCCATTCACACCAAGGTGGCATTGTTTTTGCACGCTTAGCGTGCTTTTTTTTAAATTTTGAACGTTCATGCACATTTTGCCATATTTTTGCACGCGTAAAAACACACGTACATGAAGACGAGCGCTTTGACTGGCAGCTCAAGAAAGATTGCGGTCAATGGACGAATGAGTGTACAAACGCACAAAAAACACGCCTGGAAATGAGCAACATGCTTCTGTCACAGGTTTCCTGCCGTTTCCATTGAAGTCTATGAGGGAAAAAACAGGCTGTAAACTGCCAAAAAAGCCCTGATCTCAACAGGTGCCATTGGAAACCATGGGATTTCTTGTGATGGGTGTTGGAAATTGCTTTTTCTACTGCTCAAAAACACCTGGGTGTGAACCAAGACCCCATTTACACCTAGGCGTTCCGTGCGGTTACTGCTGTAAGAAGGCAGTGACAGGAATTTTAAAATAGCACCCAACTATACTAATTGAGAGGTAGCTCCTAGCGCTTCAGCCCGGCTGGCCTTACTACAGGAGTCTTCTATATCTGGAGAGCACTCTGCGGCTAACACAGTACACAGAGGTCTGGAAAATACCACAATGCAGAGCCCAGTGGCCGTAGGCCACATTCCAGGCTAGCTCCACATTTGTAACTGAAGCTAGTTTAGTTTTGGATAAAGTGGAAAGAGATTACGTCAGGTTTTCATTGCCGTCTGTGTTTCCGTTAAGGACATTCACCCTCTCCATTTGTCCTGGTGACCGTTATCAATAAAAGTGAAGGAAAAGCCCAAATGTTGGAATGCCATCAGAACAGTAATAGAGGGGAAATCTTCCAATGGGCACTAGTTCCGGTGACCTTGCTGACTACCAGAGATTTCCTCTCACTTCTTGTTGTGGGTATGGTACAGACCTATAAATCCTCAACATGGAGAAGCCCAAAGAGCAGGTTCAGCAGCAAGAATCCTTAAGATTTGACACACACATTCAATCAGCGTCCCCAGAATTGTGACCAAGATGGTACAAACAGCTCACGGACAACCTCCCGATTATGCCATTACTATACAGCCAATCACAGTAGTTACATAATCGTGAGCCCCTCCTACCAGCTTCCAGCATTATGGCCCCTTAAAGGGCTGGAGCAAAGGGGTTAAAAAGCCAGCAATGGACTCTCCTATAACATCAACAATGGCAGGTTTACTTTAGGAGGGACATGAAACCAAACACCTGTGTGATTCAACTCTGATAAAAACATTTCCAGAACAGAAAAGTGGTTGCTTTCTGCTTAGGCAAGGGTGACATAACAAGGGGGTGGGGATCACTCCCTCACTGGCCCAAAAAACATGGCAGAATCTCGCTCGCTAGCCAGGAAGCAACATCTTGCTGGTCTGGTTAGTGAAATAGCAACTCAATAGAAAAGAGTAAGTGACCCCTTAAAGATCCTTCGCTGACGAGCGGTTGCCAGTGGCAGGTTCATTCGTATGACATCAGTCTAAAGCTAGCCACAGAAACAAAACAAAACTTTTTTTGGCTTTACTTCTCTTTTGGATCACAGGAGCATATTTACTAATGTACTCCTGTGACCCAAACTCAGCAGATAGGACGATCATGCCTGTTATATGCTGACAATGCAAAGCCGTACCACAGTTGGAAAGGATCCTGCCCAACATGTGTAGCGCGTTTGTCGTTTTCATACGCAAGCGCACCCGACGCGTGTTTACGTGGCGACGCGCGTGCACGCGGGGGCGGGGTACTTTAAAACATTTTTTTTTTATTATTAGATTTATTTTATTTTAAAAAACTGTTCTGTTTTTTTTTTTACTTTGACTGCTATCACATAGGGGGGCTTACAAGCCTCCCCATGTGATAGCAGATGGTGGTGACAGGTACTCTTTAAGGTGATGCTGGGGGTCCAAAAGACCCTCAGTGTCACCTTTACACTGGAAATAAGCTATTGAAGTGCTTATAGCTATATCAATAGCTTATAGCTGGGCTGCAGGAGCCCAGAACTGACAGCCCAGGGACCGGAAGTGATGCAATCTGCATCGCTCCCGGTCCCATAGAACGGGGAGGGGATCGATGAACGGAAGTAGGAGGGGCAACGGAGCCCGGGAAGCACGGCGGGGGTGTTCGGGGGGGCCTTCTTCGGGACACAGAAGCGATCTGGCGACAGGTAAGTCGCCAGAATCGCTTCTGTTGTAAAGCCGACAGTCGGCTTTACAAGTTTAAACAGACTCCCGGCTATTGCCGCCGGGAGTCTGTTTAAACAGCCCCGGTGCTGGCGACGTACACTGTACGTCGTCAGTCACAAAGGGGTTAAAGCAGACCTTTACACTCCAAAATCAAATTCTACCAATGCATCCATCTATGATGATTAATAATAACATAGACATGACAGCTGTAAAATGCTGTGATTATGAAATACTTACACTTGCAGAGCATTCACTTCCTGCTTTGAAAGTGAAAAATGACTTCAGTTTGCCAAAGCAATGCGCACAGTGATTGCCTTGTCATAGATCATTGCTGGGAAATCTCATCTCAGTGAAAGGCATTTTCCTCCCCTGAGATGATGTGCATGGTAACATGTCCTGTCACATGTGACTAGTAATCTGCCCTTAGTAAACATGGCCACTGCCAGAAGACTGGGGAAGAGAAATACGGTATGCAAAGAATAAAAAGCCTGCAATTATCTAGAAGTATGTGTTTGTAGATTGTCATTACTAAACATTTCTAGGTGTGTTTGTTGTTATTTTAAAGATATGGGTAAAAGTCAACTTTAAGATCCCCATCCAAACAGCATGGTTGGGGGTTTTGGAGTATCCTTATTTCTGATCTACGTTTGTTGAGTTGGGACTCAGCAGGAAAGGGACAACATCTGATCTGTGGATGACCAGCTTTGGATTCATTCCAAGGGAGATTCACTCCTGCTTTCTGTTTCCCACAAGGAGAGAAATCCAAAATAGTACAATTGTCACTGGACACAAAAGTAAACGAGAAATGTCCCAATAGAAACATCCAGTATCAACCATGAAAAGGTGGCACCTCCCCTTACTGTAGGCTGTCACTGGGGCAGGAAGTGAGGGAAGTCTAAAATGTGAAATAGAGACATCAATAACAACTCAGAGGTTCTAACAATAGCGCCAATCCTACTCCTAAACCTGCGATGTGACCCCCCCCCCCCATGTTTTCTGAGGACTACCCCCAGCAGTGTGACCCCCCAATGTACTCTGAGGACTTTCCTGACATGGGACATTCCCCAGATGAAGCATACACGGGCAGTACATGTAATAGGTAGATCAGGGAACACCTAGAGCTGGGAAGGGGGGGGGGGCGGCTGTAATCAGTCAGTAATGACAGTTGAGCCAGTGGCCCCTTTCTATGTATGTAGGCTCCATGTATGACCCGGGCCGGTCTCCGCCCTTCCTATTTTCGGCCGAGGCCGTAGAAGGAGCGGACACGCTGGGAGGAAGAAGAGGCGGAAGTCACACAACCCCCACCCCGAGCTGAGCGCTATTACCGGAGCCCACTCACCTGAAACACCTCCCCTCCCAAAACACAGCGGGGGGCCACTATGTCCCCGCGTGGCCCCTACACTGTCCGGTACAACTCCTTCAAGGAAGCCCATAAGACCGCTCATCATATTGCACATACACGCACCAACCTTCTCCTCATCGGACAGCTGCTCCTCCACATCCGCCATCTTCTTTACCCCCTTTTCCTGACTGACTGCGCGCGCCCCTAAGGGCGGAGTCTGACGTCACAGGACGGCCAAGACCTGAGGAGTGACGGGAGCGCGCGCTGTCTATGCCTGACGGCAGCGCGCCTAGAGGAAGTGTGCGTAAATTAGCTGGAATAGGAGAATGTTCACTGACAACCGTGGCAACCAATCAGCTTCTCTCTTCAGTTTATTTAGTTAAGATTTGAAAATGAAAGAAAGAAGCTGATTGGTTGCCCTGCACAGCTGCTCCAGATTTTGTCTGCTCCAGTTTTGATACATTACCCACACTGTGTTGGTACCCTTAAGAAGCATTAACAATTCTCTATGAGGTAAGTAGAAACTGACCAAAATGATTTGGGCATCCACCATTGTTTATTCCATATTTAATACATATCAGACTTTGACTTGATTTTTAATTCAGCAGAATATTTTAAATAAAACAAATGAACATGGCATGGACAAAAATTATAGCACTTTTCACAAAGTAATGAAAAAGTAAACAGTCACAACACCATCCTCATCCCACCAGGTCCAGACTTCATGTAGCTGCTCTGATGGTGGGCTGCACAATTCACAACTTCACTTGAGGCTAAGTAGCATCATCATTTTGGCAATGGTGGTTAGCCACTGATGACTTTACAGGTCCAGGGCTGTAATACACCCACTGGTGGAATCCTGTCGCTGAAGACTCCTACAGTATACCCAACATTGGGGCGAAAGCTGTCTGAAATGGGATTTGTTCCACTTACTCTTGCATTGGCACTCTTCAGTACTTCGTTCGCAAATTATGGGACTCCCCCACTTCTCAAATTAGGAAGATGCGTTTGTGGCCATCTGTACCCAAAGTATATCAGACTCATTGGTACTGAACATGGTATCAAGGAGCTACAAGTTAGAATTTCAAGTTAGTGCTTCATGTTGTCAAATCTGCCAACCTCGCCACAAAGGCTAGTGGACCTTCATGCTGTTTTGGTGCAACTCCTCTCTCATGGAGTCATAGCCATTGTCTCAGACAAGGAAAGGTTTCAGGGTTTCTACTCAAATCTGTTCACAGTTCCCAAAATTTAAATTGGCATCCCCTCATTCTGGATCTAAAAGTACTTTATATTTTTATTCCAGTGCAAAAATTCCATATGAAATTTATCAGGTCAGTGATTGCTACCCTTTGTGGACATCACGGATGTCTACATACACACCCCTATCTTTCCAGGGCATCAATGCTAACTGTTTTTGCTGTGGGGAAGCAACATTACCAGTTTATTGCCCTTACCTTTGCTCCACCAGGAATCAGGTAACCACCAATGTGCTAGGCTCCTGTGCTTTCTCTGCTTCATTCATAAGGCATCCCCATTGTGATATACCTGAACAAACATTTCCTGAGGGAACAGTTGGCACATAGCTTATCAGTCAGTGTCCAACAGACTGTTTAAACTCTACAGATGTTCTGTTGAATTCTCAACCTCTGGAAGTCTTCAGACCTCTTGTCTCTCATTCCTTGGCGAAAGCCTTTGTACAGGGTGTCACTCCAACTGTACAGCCACCTGTGACTCCATGAAATTCCTCTATCTTCTCTCACTCACAAAGTGGCCTTCCTCATTGCCATTATCTCAAGTTTCTGAGTAAGCACCCTTGTCTTGCAAAAAAACTTTTTTTTTGTGCCACATAGAGACACGGTCATCTTGAGGCCTATGGCATTTTGTCTCCCCAAGGTGGGGTTTCTTTCTTCCACCTTAACCAGAACATAGTTGTTCCATCTCTTTGACTGGCTCCAGTACATCCCAAACTACAGGCCAGTACAGTACATTTGTCAGACTAACTGACTCTCTTTTCATTATTTTTGAAGGTTCCATTAATGGACTACCTGCCTCTCGTTCCATCATTTCCATGTGGCTTAGGCAGCTCATCTTTTGAACCTGTAGGACTGTCAGTCACCCCTCCTCACAGGGATTGCCCCTTCCCTCTCTGTGTTCCTCCAGCACCCATTGGAGGGACAGACAGGGGCGAGGGTGAACACAGCTGGCTCTGGCTCTAGAGAGGCAGAGCCAGCTTTCAGTAAGGCAGCCAGGTGGATCCTGACAATATTATTAGGATCTTTCCTGGCTGCAGCGGGGCTCTGTGCTGTCAACATATAGTGGGCAGCAGTCCAATATTTGCTAACTTTGGGTTACACGAGTATATTAGTAAATGTACTCGTGTGACCCAAAAGAGAACTATAGCCCAAAAAAAAGGTTTGGCCATAGTTCTCTTTTAATGTATTTATGAATGTTATTTACCCGTAAAACCTCCCTTGTGTTGACGTCCAAAAGCCTTAAGACTGCTGCAGGGCAATGCCATCTTCGATGTGATGTCAGCTGCCCCAGAAGACTCAGAGCTGTCACTCAAGATGCATAAAAGGTTCTATAGGGTGGTGAAAGAAGGGGCAGAGGAGCTGGACCAGCACAGAGAGTGATTAGACACTCTCAGAAGAGAAGAGGGCTATTAGATGTAAAGGAGGAGGGGGCTGTGCTAGGGGATTGACTCTTCCTAGAGTGGTAAAAAATGTTTGCAAGTTCAACAACACATTACCAGTAAATTACAAACAAAAAAAATGATGTAAAGAAAAAAATACTGCAAATAAGCATTTAAAATGCTTGATTTTTCTTTACTATTATGTGTAATTTATTGGTGGTTGGTGACAAGGTCTTGTTTTAACAGCAACTCAGTGCTTTGCTAAGTCAATTGAAGCGGACCTTTACCCCTCTTCACTAAAAATCACATCAGCATGCAGCTCTGCATGTTAATTTAAAATCATCTTACTTTCATTAGTTAAACTGACATGTTTTTCATTTACTTACAAATAGAGTTCATCTACTTCCCGGACCACTTCTGGCACAAAAGATGTAATCTGCCAAAGCGTTGCATCTTGGGAAGCTTACATCAGCTGACTATTCCTGGGAAATCTCATCTGTAATCTCATGAGATCTCAGGGAAAGGCATTTTCCTCCCCTGAGACGATGTGCATTGTAAAGGGAGAGCTAGTAACCTGCCCTTAGTAAAAATGGCTACTGTCAGAAGACTGGGGAAGAAAAGAGAAATAAGGTATGTAAAGAATACAAAGCCGCCAATTATCTAGAAGTCTGTGTTTATAGATTGTCATTACTAAACATTGCTAAAGGTGTGTTTGTTATTTTAAAGATATGGGTAAAGGTCCGCTTCAAGATTATGTGATCCAAAACTGTGTACTGTGGGACCTGTTTTCTATAGCTGGTAGCTAAGTATATGTTAGTGTACTTAGAAAATTCCTTTGGAGCCACATACCAGCTTTGCTTGGGAAAACACTTATTCATTTAGATGCTCTCCACATTATCCAACCCACCAATAATAAAACTCCAGGTCAGAAAATGCTGTCACATCTGGATTGCAGTATCCTTGGCTGCAAGGAAGGTTTCACATTTTTAGCAATGTTGCATAAGATGCCTTTTCAGTGTTTCTGTGTGCTGCTGTAGACCGTTCACAATGCCTTGCATTGTTTCTGTAACAGTCCCTATAATAACTCAGATGTTTATGCCAAATGGAATGGTTTGTGGGCACTACAAATATTTTCTCTTGCAAGGCAATGATTCTGACTGCATTTTTCCTCATATGCTCAGTTTCAAGTGCCCGTTATTTCAGTACAGCGTTGCATGACGGAATAAACGTCAGCCAAAGTACCGCAGCGCTGAACACTGAAAAATGGCCTGGCCAGGAAGGGGGTGATACACCGCGGTCTTCAAGTGGTTAACAGGAAAGTAAATAAAGAGAAATCTAAAATTTTACACAACAGGATTAGAAGAGAAATCTAATGGTGACATCTGTTCTAGTGGCAGTTGTCAAAGTTTGACTTTCCCGTTATAATGGAGAGAGTTCTTCTTGCTTCCTGCTGTGGTTCTGGTATAGGAAGTGAAAGGAAAATATCCACAATGGGGAAAAAGGCAGCAATAAAATCCAGACAGAAAGTTTTAGCTTTCCCCACCCTATCCAAATTACAATATCTCTCTTTGTATTGCTGCAATGTAATAATTCAGAACTGTCCGTTTACTGAATTTATGAAGAGGAATAAGTGAACACTGTTTAATTGCGAAGTTCAATTGCTATGTCACAAGTCACATGCAGATCTGATGATACTTCTCACTGTGTTGCCAAAGGTTTGTTAACCTCTAAGCTTTGTGTCCAGTCTTTCAATTTTCTTTACTGGTCACCCCTCTTTCTTTCTTCTGTGCTACTAAACCTTAGTTGGTTGATTCTGTGTTCCCTCTCTTCGTCTTTTGTACATTTCTTATTTATTTTTAATGCTTCCTCCATTTTTCATACTTGTCTGCTTTTCCTTTAGCATCTATGCTGCCAGTCCCCTCCTTCATCTTATGCACCCTCCATCATTCCGCTTTTAGCCAATTTGTAAGAAGTTACTAGCCTACTGCTCAGAAGCAAGTCACAGTAGTCTATGGTTGTCCTGAACAGAAATAAAGATGAGGGCCATGGATGACATTGATTTAAGCACAGGGACTTCCTCACAGTGCACACATGTGGATTTCAAGTAGGAAGCCTCAAACAGCCAAGCTTTCCCCATCATTGCTAGTACTAATAAGCTTACACAACTGTCTACCAAATAGTCAGCTTGGTAGAAAACCCCATGCACATCTTTCACAGGGAGGCTGGCTGTAGCTGGTAGCCCTGGAATCTCCATACAGACTTTACAAAAGGCAAAATGCAAGAGGAGTTTTTGGTGTTGATGCTCAGGTGTTGGCAGAGATCCCAGGGAAAAGTGTACAAGGAAGCAGCTGCGATTACAGGTCCACCCCGCTGGAAAGGCAGTATTTTAGGGCTGGTGACTGGGACTGAATATATAGCTTTAGGCCCTTGTGCTCTCATCAGGTGACCTGAATGCCAGGAACATTGAAGAATCTCCCCTACCTGGTGAGCAGCTGACATTCCAGACAAATGCAATCCCATCAGACGCAGGGCTCTCTGAAAATCTTGAGGAAACACAGAAGCTTCTCCTGGCA